GCGGTACGCGGACCTCTCACTGTTGTGGCCTCTCCTATTGCGGAGCACAGGCTCCGGATGTGCAGGCTCAGCGGCCATGGCTCACGGGCCCAGCCAGTCCGTGGCATGTGGGATCTTCCCGGACCGGGGCACGAACCCCTGTCCCCTGCATCGGCAGGCAGACTCTCAACCACTGCGCCACCAGGGAAGACCCCTCCATTACTTTTTGCTTACCAAATCTTCAGTGATTTAAAATTGTTCTTCATGGTACCTGAACATTCAGTGGCTTCTAATTAGCCCAAGGAGATCTCTCTGACAGATGGATTAGGAAAGCTTCTAAAATCCTAAGACCTATTTATCTCCCAAATGTTAAAGAGTTCTAGTTTTCATCTGTACATGGTAGTGGGAACAAGGATAACAAGGATAATTGAAGTCAGTGGGGAACACCAAAACCTCACTGTTATTTCCAATTCCCACATGCTTTGACTAAAAATGCTAACAAGGAACTAAATCGATTGGTTTGAATTTCACTTCGTTTCTCTGGTAAGGACATTTGTGAAGTGATTAGAAGCTGGGAAACAGGAGAGAAGAGAAATAAATATGCACAGGAACTGACTAAACTGCATCATCTCACCCTGAATATAAGAGTTTATTTCACCAAGCAGTCAGACTTCATGCCATTGAAGGCTTGTGCCCTGAATTAACTTGTTGACACTTTGGAGTACGTATGCTTGTCAAGTGATTCGTGGTGGTGTTTAGCTATGAAATTACTCATGAAAAGCTGTGAGCTGGGAGGGGAGCTTCTTTTCTTTACTTTAACTTAACCAATGTGTGTTGCCATTTCTCGATGTAGATCATTCGGCAGAACTGTCATTGACCTTTCCATTTGTATAGCACCTGGCTTTATTGTCTTTTGTGTGTAATTCCATGAGGGTTCATGTAGTCCCTGCTCTTGTATCCTTGGAAAGAATTTTTGTGTTGTGCATAGAAAACTTATGAGTCACTCATTCAAATGGACCCTGCCTCCAACTGTCTCCATGTAACATGACTAATTTTTATGAAGGGCAAGTGCCTGTAGCCAAAAATAACTCGTTTGAAAGTGACCAAAGCTATAAACTTGGAAGTTGCTTTCCCATTGAGCTTAGATCTTAATACCTAAAAGGACGTAGACATGATGAATATCAAATTCAGTCACTAACTGTTTAATTTCAGACATGCTTCCCTGTGTCTCTGATGCCACCCGCTCAAGAACTACCTTCTCCTTACCCCTTCCTCAAATGGTACTATTTTAGGACATATAAATAAATTTTATTAGTACTCTAAGCAGAAAAAACAATCCAGTTCTCCCCAAATTAGTCGCTAATCAACTAGAAATGCATTTGAGTATTTGTATCACTAAATTCATCCTATTATTTCATGATTATTGGTGTAGTCTTCTGTCTTGGGTTTTTCTCTTATTACAAAAATAATTCATGTTCGTTATAGAAAATTTAGGCAACTTCAGAAGACAATAAATGACATTTAATCAACACCAAGAGAGATAAGCACTATTATCTTTCATTATATAATATTGCCTTCTAGTTCTTTTTTACTTTTTTAATATGTATCTATGTACATATTTTTGAAAAAAGGGAAATGTATTCAGCTTCAGATATAATTCTGTTTCCTCGAGAATGGACATGTTCTTTGCATTGTGAATATTTTTCTTATTTGGGAAAAAAACTTTCAAACTGGAGAATCCTGGAATTTAACTCTTACCCAGCAAAATAAGTTCATGAACAGGTTGTCTAAACATCTTATTGTATTTCTTCCGTGATGGCTTCTTCCCTTTGTTTGTACCACCATATCCTGTGTCCAAACCCCTTTCTCTTCTCCAGTGAGTCTGTGCTCTGCTGGCTTTCCCAGCAGTTGACACAGAAAAAGAGGTTTTAAACAAACTGTAAGTGGTGTTGTTAATTTTCTGCAAAGTCATTTCATCTTGTGCGTAGCTGCCATGCCTGGAGCGCAAGCAGATTGTGTGAACGGATGCAGCAGGATTTCTCCCCCCGCTTTGGAAGAATGCTCGGCTTAGTAGTGCACTGCACAGAGATGTTTATTTGGAAAGGTGTCCAGCGGATATGGAGAAGAAAAGTATAGAGCGTAGTTTAAAGAAAATCTGCAGCGAGAAGCCAGGATTGATTGGTTGGAAGCCAGGGTGTTTCCAGAAAAAGCATTTCTTCCACACCCTTAAGAGTGTACTGCTTCTCTGAGCTGGAAGCCTTTGCCAACCAAATCTCCTATCAACAGCTCTCCTGGAGGCTGTCCGATTTGGCTGAGAAAACGCTAGATGTGAACAGAGCCTTTGCAGAAAGGCAGGCAGCATTCTTAGTTAAATTAGGGAAACACAGTAATATTGGACAGGCAACCGGTAATGTTGTTTGTGAATGAGAAAGAAGTCAGAATTTTACTGCTGATTATCTTTTTCAAGATTTGACATTACATATCCTTTTTTTTTTTTTTTTTTTTTTTTTATAAAATAATAGCAAAGAACCATTACAATTTCTCATTTGTCTGTTAAACCCCTAGCAAGGGGG